TTCTTTATATCTACGAGTCCTGTGTGCAGTGTTCCATACATTAACTTCCACAACAACATACATTATTACCAAAATGCTTCAATCTGATGCAGCACCGGTGGAATTGAAGGGAGGTCGTTAGGTAGCCGCGACGCAGTCCTCCCAAGTCCCATACCGAGAGCTGAAGCATCCCCCGCCGGTACGTTGAGCATACTCAGAAACCACATAACGAGCACACTGATCCCATGCCCTTGCATACTCTCCAAGAGACAAGCGTTCTGGAGCGGTGCGGAGGAATGCTCGTAACATCGACGTCGCCTTCCTCGACAGATCTCTACATTCTTCATCCTCATTGCTGTAAACATATGCACAACAAGTCAGGAATAGGTTTGAGTAAGCTAGTGCATTAATTGAATAATACTTAGGAATACAGGGTAATCTTCTGAATAATCAAGAAATCTCATACCCGCAATCTGTATTAAATTTGCTTAGGAATACAGGGTAATCTTCTGGATAATCAAGAGGCACAAGCAGCTTCACAGAAAGCACTGGCAACTGGGGGCAACAAATTTGCAGAAACATTTCGGTCAAAGTTTTCATTTAGTTTACGAGCTGAAAAACAAGAGAACAGAAAAATAGCTAGAGACCTACTCACTTTTAGTGTGTTTGCAAAATGGAACATCAAATTGTTACGATCACTGACAGCACTATATGTACATCGAACAACGGTACCTGCATTGGCGAATCGCCTATTGACATTCTGAGCGGAATCTAATTCTAGGACTGTTTCAACCAAACGTTGGTTTATGTTTCTCATTTCTTCCAATAGGGCATTGTCGGTCTGCAGTTGCACAATTTATAGCATAACTTCATAAGACAAGAAAAAAGAGAGCAGAAATACATGTTTCAAAGGGACTAGATAGAGATGAAGCATACCAGTTTCTTGAGCTTCTTGCTTCTTGATGTAACTGTTAATTCGGAGCCATCGTTGTCGCTGCACGGAGATGGCATGTCATTTAAGGTTATTGCACATATTTTTCGCTTCATATTATTTGAGGAACCAAATCCATCTTGCAAGCTTAAATGGGCTGCCTTTTGGTGACACCTTGTTCCAAAAACTGACGGTTCTGTTACTGTGTCACACATATTACCAACTGAACTTATTCCTGATATAGCTGTTCTCAATGCTTGATCTGACATTGAGTCGACCTGCAAAATTCGAGAGAATTTCTCAGAATCAACTTACGGGAAGAGCCTAAGGGAAAAATAGGAATGATCATGCACTTGCAAAATAAACATATGTCAATCCACATTATTTTTAATAGTAGAATGTTCAATGGTCTATTTGAAAGATGCATTTGATTTAATATTATTGTACACAACATAAACTTACTGCTTTAAGCAGGCGATTAAGTGGCTGAGTTGCTGTAGACAAATGCTGACTGCTTCCAAGACTAGTAGGTTCGGCAAACTGGGAAGTCGATATGCCAGAGCTTCTGATCTCATGAGACTTGACTTGGATTTTGGTTTTGGAATTAAGTAAGTTAACAGAATTACGGGTTTCAGGGTATTGGAAGTTCAAACTTGAAAGGCAGGAAACATTAGAAGAACTTTTTCCAAGCCCAACTGTTGAGGAAGATGGAGTAGGAGAAGCTCTTCCATCTCTTCCATACACTGAAGAGCAAGGATCTTTTGAAAGTGCTCGCTCAGCAATCTTAGAAAGCTGTGAAGCCTCCTCATGAGATTGAGGAGAATGTTTTGAGTTCAAATGATTCTGCAAAGACACTCCTGATCTATTAATGGCTTGGATGCTTTCTGTCGACTTCTGCATCTGCTGTATCCATGAGGACTGAAATTCTTGCTTGATAATTTCTGGCTGCTGCCTCTTCTGCAACAGATTTTTCTGAATCCTGTTTGCTTCTGGCCTCGAGGAACCTATTTCACTTGGTGTTCTAGGAGAGGAACTATCAGAAGAGCCAGTGGCAGCCAAGTTCAAAGGTTGAAAATGGGGGTTCGCATTATCACTTCGCTGAACTGGGTTTATATGAGACTGACTAATGCCTGGCTGCCCATGTAGGGGCTGCTGCTTATTGACAAGAAACGTATTCCTATTCTCATGGGCTTTCGCGAATTTCTCAATTGATTTCATAGATTGATAAAACTTCTCTTTGGTGAAATATGTGATTTTATCCCTTGGCAATTCCAAAAAGTTCGTCATTTTTTGCATTAAACTCATGTGGTTCTTGCACTTCTGGATCTGCTCTGTTTGTCCTACCTATCAGAAGTAAGATCCATCGAGAATTAAGGAAAGAGCACAGAATGGGAACACAAAAAGTGTCTCGATTGAGTACCTCTAGACACAGTTTAGCTGCCCTCTCATATGACTCCTTCAAAAGAGGTAAGCATGTCATCTTCAAGCCCTGCATCTGTAGTAAGAAAATGAAGTGGCTTAGCACTTCATTCAAATTAATATCAAAAGTTGACATCCATAATGATTCCATAAATCATTACCAAAAAAGAAAAGAGAAAAAAAGTCTCAATCAACTCCAGAAAGAGAATCAATTCAAACAACATCCGTAGTAGATGTTAGACTACAGTCAAGAATGGAACTTTATGATTGAGTAGAGGTTCGGGATATGCAGCCCAGAGTATTACGCATATTTGAAAGCAAATTGTAGCCACTTCAAATTTGTTATGCGATCACCGGCAATAGGAATTTCGACCAAATTATACTGAAATCCATCTCTCCGAATAAGACTATTGCACTTGTATACAATGGAGGAATAAAAAAAGAGAACTGATCTTGGGAAATATTTGTTGGAATTTTTCGACAAAAACTGTCTTCAATGAAAAATGAGGAAGTCCTAAAACTGAAAAAAGAAACAAAAATCCCAATGAATGATTTAGAATCTAACTAATTTATGAGTTAACTGAAGAACAAATCTCTGTACATAATTTTTTCACAAACCTGATGATGTTCTAAATAGATTTATAGGAAAAGCAAATAAGAGTGAGATTATTAGAGATTCCAACGCTAAAAAAGATAAAAAGAATAAAATATACATAATAGCTTAAAAAATAATAATAACTCTCCAAAACATAAGATACTAAGATAGAATAAATTTAATCATTTCAATATATTATGATCCAACGATGGATTTTTAAGTGTGTGAAGTGCAATTGCCTTTAAGACTTAATTATAAAGTGGCAAAAATAGAACTCTAGTGATGTGGAGTGAACATAAAGTTAAATTGTACAAATAATCTATAAAATCTTAAAAACAAACTACGAGATCACATCATAAAAACCTATGCGTTTAGTCTCTATTATTGATTCACCATAATAAGCATTGAAATTAGTTACATTCTCCCAAAGCTAATAACTACAATTTTCTTAATATCCTGATAATATTTCAAGCCTAGTCCTAATTAATGGCTAACATTGAGACAAATGAAGGTTTTGTTGATTGAAAGCGTTTAATTGTCATCTCTAAAGGGAAGTCCACAATCAATCGAGGGAGTGAAATTACACACTGTTAGGTCAACGGTCTGCTAAAGATTTCTCATAGGACCTTCAAGGAAAGAGAACAAGCCCCTCAACCACCTTCTTAACTAAAAAGAAAGAGTCTGTGTCCACATCAAACGAGTCCCTCCAAAAAACACAAGACCAAAGAGTCTTTATAAAAGAAATTTTTTTCTGTCTATTTTATTCAAAACGACAAATAATAGTGAGATTTTTTTTCACGTTTTTCTTTTATATTTTTTAATTAGCCATTCACGTATTGTCGCCACTGTTTTTAAATATTAATTGATTAAATACGATATATTAAAAAAAATTAGTATATTAAGAAATAAATGAAAACATAAGAAAACAATAGTTTTACCAATAGTTCTTCAAACTAAAAAACAAATTAAAGAGAACACCCAAGCCACCCCTTGTGATTATATATTCGATTGGTCAGCCTTTTATAACTTCCTGAATTTTCTGAGGCTACATTTCTCGCATAATCCTAGAAATAGAGGTTCATGAATAATAATAATAAATTAATGCTTTTATTTATGCATAAGCTAACAATAATGTGACAGTAATGCTAGTAAACAAATTAGAATTACCTCATTATATGCTTGATCATGCCAATCTTCTCCCTTTGGATTCTCTATTAGAACTGTGTAATGAAATGAAAGATAAGCCAAAAAAATTAAAGGTAGAACCCAAAATATTATTCAGAGAAGTAGAAGAACAAAGCTCCGTATTTCTAAGATACAAAGTTGCTCGAGTTAAAAGGAACTTTCTAAGAAAGAAAATTTAAAAGCAAAATAATCTGTGAAATTATAAATTGTGATATCTTCTTTCCCCATAGGATGGAGAGTAGTAATTAAAGTATCATTATATAATTACTTTATTTTAATTTTCTATTTTTAAAAGTTAAACATAAAATTTCATATAAACTAACAGTTTCTTTGATTCCTACTCTACTTTTCTCAGAATATTTATCAAATTCTGACCTTTGTTTTTTAAAAAAGCAATTTCCAAATATCTAAACTTTGGTTTTTAAACTTGGGTAAAATTTCAAAATAACTTTTAAAAAGTGAAAATTAAAATAAAAGGAGTGTATAGTATTAGTATACCAGCTTAACTTTTACAAACAAAACCTGTTCTTAAACAGGACGTGAACAATTTCTTTAAAAATATCATGAATGCAAAAAGGTGAATGGAAGGAACAGATTGTTAACAAAAATCCTCCTACGTCCTCGATATTTCCTCGGGTTAAAGTGATAGTGTTGATTTCTAGTAGGAATTTCAGAACCTTTAACATACCTGCAGAAACTCCCATGGACTGGTGTTGCTTATGTTGCTCAATCATAGTGTTGGGACCTCGAGGCGTATGGTGTGGTTGTACGAATTTGGAGGCCTGCACATCTTCACCTATTACTTCCTGTTATGTAAGGCTTCACTTTCAGAATGCAATACGTATAATACAGATATACAAGCAATCTACCTATTTACATATCTGGGCACACCCAAGATTAAAATATAAGCAGAATCGAATACCTCCTTTATTTGGGCTCTTAAATTCTCATTGGGCTGCAAGTTCATAACTTCTGAATGTGGTGGGAACATTTGTGGGGGTATATAAACTCCAGAATCTCGACTCTGCAAACCCAGTGGTCGACATGGTGAAATCAATGTATTTTGTGGACGAACACAACTTTGACTGTGCATCCCAAATTGTTGATGCAACTGTCTGGCATTCAGATTTTGTCTTTGTAGTTGTTCATGCGACTGTGGTGTTAACTGCATAATATTTTGCCGCAAAAGAGGATTAGGGGCTGCCAGCTGCTGTCGTTGATTATGCACCATCGGCCGGGGATATGGCTGATTAGTCATCTGTGGCAAAGGCTGGCTTACAAAAACAGCCTCCTTTTTTTTCTGCACTACAGATTTGTCAGAGGAAAAGGCAGGATGATCTTGAATGCTTGAGGAGCCTTCATGGCGATTTTCGATCCTACTCATCTTTCTGCTTATATTATAGATATAATGATCCTGAGAGGCATAAGCAGTTTGAAGTAAAGAAGATTTCATATGTTGAAAATTGGAACAAATTTAGGACTTGGAAGCATAGTATTGCTCACATCGCGTCTCAAAAGTCAGAGCAGGAAAGAGAACAGTTAGATACCAGAAAATAGAGAAAATTACTAATGTACCTTAGAATTTGCTTTATTAAACATCTCCTCCTCAAATTTCATCGCAAGGTTGGTAATTCCTTCCGAAATTATGCCATCATGACCGTACGCAGGCCACTGTTCCTTCAACTTTGCGCATCTATAACATCATGCTGTTGTCAATAAAATTTGAGACAGCAAAGATAAACTTAAGCAATGCCTTAAAAACTCTAAAGTCAACAAGAAAATCAGGAAAACGCATATTCTTCCATACAACATTACAAAAAGTTTTAGTTGCAATCAGCCAATAATAACTGTGCCTTTTCAAACAAAGAAATCAATATCAACCGGCAGCAGGAATGGAATCGAACTCTACTGGTTACTACATTGCAAGAAACCAATAGAATCAGAGACAGGAAAGAGAAACTTAAACAGTGCCTCGAAATTTTCCAGTCAACAACAGAATCAATCAGGAAAACGCGTCTTCTTCCGCGAGACGTTACACATAAAAATTAGTTCCGCTCAGCAAATAATAAATGCAACTTTTTAACCAAAGAAGCAAATATCAATCCGCAGCTACCGAATCAAACTCGACTAGTCAGTACATTGCAAGAAACCAATAAAACGAATCGTAAACACCAATACGTGAAAACAGAATAGAGCACAATAACGATCGATTTAGTTAGAGAGAGATTTACATTGAATCGACAATCTTCCGTCTGGCTTCGGTATTGATTTCCGCTCTCCAATCCGGCGCAACAACCAGATTACCGTTCTCCTCCATCATGCACAAAACCTCGACTAACACAGAGAGCAAGAAAAAAAAGAAAAAAAAAGAACAAGTAAACATAAAGAACCTTCAGCACACACCGGAATATAGACTACTACTTCCGATCGAGTTCCGGTAACTAATTAAACAAAGAAAGAGAGAAAACGCTAAAACGGAAAGAAAAAGGCTAAAAGAGGGTTGGAAAACTCACCGGAAGCAGATTGTTCTTGCGTTTGTTCCTGAAAACACGATTAAAGAAACTTTCACGAATTAGGTTGCTGTGTGAGAGTGGAAGAACACCAGTGGCTTTCTGCGGAAAAGATACTGATTAGATTACTGGCGAGAGAGATTCGAATATGGAATTGAAATCGGAAGCGACTTTTGGGGGAAGAGAGAGAGACAGACAAATAAGGAAGGACGTGTTTTTTTGGGATCGTTGGGGTTATACGTTATATGTTATTACAAGGAAGGCGGGATGTGGGGCCCACACACGCTTCTTCCTTCTTCGCATTTACACAGTTCCCATTGTTGATCTTCCGTCTCCTTTTCCTTTTTTCTTTTTTATAATGTTATTCATTTGGCGGGAAAATATAAATTAAATTAAATTAATAGTTTTTAGAGGGATAGTTTAGTTTGGATAATGTGTCGGTGTCCGATGTTCCGACATTCTCGATACTTGTCGGAGACTTGTTAGCATAATAGGTATGCATTAGATACTTATTGAATGAATTGAATATAAGTCGTACATTTATTGGATATATCTATGTCGGAATATTTGTTAAGCATGAAAAACACGTGTAGAATACTCGTGAAGCTACCGTAAATTATTGAACATATATACTAAAATTGACATAAATGGTTGACGAGAATAGTAATTTTTCACATAGATTTATAGTGCTGATGGAAAATGCAAAGATTTCACTTTTAAAGCATGGTTAGTCAACTAAATTTTGTTTACTATAGACATGTTGATTTTTTTTTTATCCATTTTTAAATTTATTTTTCTAAAATATATAATTGCAAGATTTTTTTTCTTTTTATTACATTAGAAGTGACATGTAAATGCATAACTTTTGTATATTGCCACACAAGCATTCCATTAATGATATTAATGAAAGTTTAATCTAATGACCTTTTAGAATTACTAGTTAATATCACGTGCATTGCACGTGGTTATAAATATTTTAATATAATATTTCTAATAATTTAACATATAGAATAACAACGCAAGAACTTTTAAATGTATTAATATTTTGTTTCAAATAAAATATATTTAATATAATATTTCTACCAATTTAACATATAGGATAACAAAACTTTTAAATGGTACTAATATTTTGTTTCAAATAAAATATATTATTCGTTGTCAATTTTTCTTTTTTAAGAAAACAACAATAATCTTGTTGTGTATTTTCTTAAATTATTTACTCATTCTTTTATCTTTTGTATATTATGTAACAAGGAAGAATGAACCAAAATTAAAGAATTGAAATTTGATAGAGAAACTGAATACTATATATGCTATGAAATCATTGAAAAAATGTGGAATAAAAAATCACATGACCAAGAAAAATAAAATAAGAACAACAATCACAAAGTCATATTAAGATAAATAAGAAAACTAATACTAAAATATAACATGAATGTATTTTAATACGTGAAAAGAATCTTAACTAAATATTAAATCAAACTTGAAAATAACATTAACTAAATATTAAAACACGAAGGTATCATGAATATATAACTTAAAAGTAATCCACGTAAAAATATTAAAATAATCTAAAAGAAATAAAAGAGGAAGATAATACGAATACATGATTTTGTTACTCTGCCTCTCAATCGATTAAATATATTTATGGAATCTCAAATATTCTTTTGACATGGTTCAGTTTTCACTCATGAAGATAAGAAAATCTTCATTAATATTTTGGAAATGAGTTTTAGGTCATAAAAGAAAAAGACATAATCTTTTATTTTATAGATTATTTGCTATGACACCTATACGTGGATAGATGCATCGCTCCATCAAATAGTTGTAATTTTCATTAGATTAACTTCTTTCAACACACATTTTCACCGAACGGTTACAACTCTTTTGGATTAAACTCCTTGTTTCATCGAATGGTCACAACTTTTTGGATTTGTTATCTCAACAGACACTTTAACTCGAACAGTTGTGTCCCTTGTAGAAATTTGAAGGGCAAAATAGGTATATATTAAAAAGTTGGGGGCAAAATGGGGAGACAAAGATTCTCCTCCATAGCCCCATTTAGATATAGTATAGATATAGATTTTTTAAACATTGTGACTAAATTTTTTTTTTAACTTAGGGACAAAATAGAAATTTTAGCTCAAACTGAAGACCAAAAAGTTTATTTTGTCCATTTTTTTATTTTGATTTATTTTTTTTAGATGATAACTTGATTTCAATTTTGACCACAATTAAAGGGTGGGGAAATTGGCTCAAATGACCTTCAAAAGTTTTTGAAATGCTCAGATGACCTACCCCCTTTATTTGTGCCCAAATGACCCACTTTTAGCATTGATGATGTGTCAGAAGCAGGTGAAATGACCAAAATGCCATTAAATGTAACAGATGACCGCTGGAATAATTCTCGGCCGAGGTAGCAAAATTCCCGCCCGAGGTAGCTTCAATGCACGACAAGACCAATTTAATGCACACCAACTTGTACCTTAGTAATCAGTACATGCCATTACTAATCTCAGAGAACATATGTCCTTATCGTAAATATTCTCTCTGCACAATCCTAAAAACTCTGAAAAGTATTGTGAATATTCTCTTTACAAGTTTCAAGATTTTGGGAGAAGTAGTTCTTTATTTTTTATGCTTTCTCCTTTTGCGCATTAATCTTGCTTGATGTCTACATTTGAACACATGTGTTTTTATTTGATCCTCGTTTGGTTTATTTTTGTTACAGTCGGAGTAACAATAACTTTTGTTATTTTATTTTAAACTCATATGTTCTTCCTCTTGCACTATGCGTTTTAATTGTCGGGTCATTCTCGAGCGAGGTGATTTGATTCTCGGTCGAGATTCAGGTTTTTGATGAACATCGGGCGAGGTACTAAACTTTCTGGACCGAGGTCAAAGGTTTTCAAAACGAAATGTTTGTTAAACTTACCTCGGGCTTGGCTACATATTGAACTCCACCTCGAGCGAGAAAATATGTTTCCCGACCGAGGTTGATGTATATTATATATATATATATATTACATCTCTAATTGTCTTTCAATTGTGCTTTGTAATGCAGAACAAAATGGTACCGAATCGAAACCCTCATACTTGGTTACGCCGAACCCGTGTACCCCCGTCGGAGATGAAGAATATTGGATTTTACCGGATGACTATGTGCCGAGGACGATTAAGCCACCAAAATTTGTTCCTCGTGTTGGACGCCACCGCCACATATTTTTCTTGATTCCATAATTCTCGGCCAAGTTATAGTCGACCCCGACCGTAAAATTCAATAAGCTACAAAAATAAAGATTAAAGTTCTGTACATTTAATATGGAGGTTGTTCTTTATTTCAGTTCTGCCAATATTATCGGGCTCGAACTCGGTCGAGGTAGATACCGAGGTTGGTATTTTTTTCAGTTGTGCAAAAAACCTCGAGCGTGAACCAGCTTACCTCGACCGTAAAATACAATGTTCTTCAGAAATAAAGATTAGAATTATCCTAATATTGAAAACGCAGTCCTAAACTCCATTAATAATTGATGTTTTGTCTCAATGTATCTAAACGAGTCCTTGTTAAATCATAGTCAATATACTTAAATTCATTCGTATTATCAAATTTAACTAAGTTACGTACAAAATAAGAAAACAATTCTAATGGAATATCAA